ATGAATGATTGGCAATGGCAAACCACTTCTGAAATCTTGCCAATATTTGGAGGGTCTTCTCCAGATAGTTGCTAGGAATCAGGAATGCTTGGACTAGTCCCTGCAGTCTTCTTGGCAATATTTCAGAAGTGCTTTGCTGTTTCTCCTTCCTAGGGCAGAGGGAGAGAGAGAGTGAGTTATTGGCCCAAGACACTCAGCTGGCTTTGAGTCTAAGGCAGGACTAGAATCCATGTTGTCCTGGTTTCTGGCTTGGTATCTTAAACACTACACCAAGCTGGTCAATAACATGGAATTAAGGAGAAACTTCCTGATAGTGAAGACAATCAAGCAGCAGAATAGCTTGCTTTCAGAAACCATGGCGCTCTGTTGTTACATCCTCAACCCCCCACTCCTTTAATCTTAAACTATCTACTGTTGACCTCACCCCATTTCTAAGAGATCTGTAAGGGGCGTGCATAAGTGCACAATCGTGCCTCCCGTCTCTGTCCTATTGTCCCCATTTATTCGTACCTATTTCCTGTATTCATACTCAGGTTCATTCTTATACCTATTATCTTGTAAGCGATTGACAAAACAAATAAACAAAAAAATAAAGGTGCCTTCCAGCTCTATTCCTATTCCATTCTATAAAACGTGACTTTAAAAAAGCAATTTAATGAGAATACCACTACAACTGCAAGTATACACCATCAACCAATATTTTCCCAGTTGGATACTCTCCAGCATTGTTGGGTCTTTTTCAAGTTGCAAAATCTTTTAGAGCTTTAAGAGGTGGATGGTAGTCATATTACCTCCGTTTGAGAGAACTGAAACCTAACACATAGCTATCGGTAAACTGGGGACGATCCAAAATACCAGCTTTGCAACCTGAATTCATCATTTCCAACCGGGGTCCCCAAACTTGGCAGCTTTAAGACTTGAGAACTTCAATTCCCAGAATTGTCCACAATTGTCCACAAAAAAGTCCACAAGTCTTAAAGCTGCCAAGTTTGGAGACCTCTGATTTACAACCTCCGCGGGTTTTTTTGTGTTTTTTCTTTTCCTTTCCGACTTAACCACCGCAACTTTCTTCCAGACTCCTTTTACAGTCAGAGTTCAAACCACCGCCCTTCCTCCTCCCGGGCCGACACACTTCCCGTCCGAAACCACGTGCTCTTGCGCTTTCCTGCAGCGCTACCCTTGATCGGTGGAGCAGGGCGCTGTCGCCTTAGAAACTCCCTTCCTGTTTGTGATGACGTGCCTATAAAAGAGCTAAGCGGCGCACGCCCATTTACTAGAAAAGTGGTGGGGTTGCGGTTTGTCGTCACCCAGTAGCATTTGGCCGCGGCGCTGCTCCCTTTTCTGCCTCTGAAGCTCCTGTTTGCTATTTAACGATGGGTCTTTTCGCTTCTTGTTCCGCCGGGGTTCTTTCGGCGGCCTGGCTCCTGCTGCTCTTCTCGTCCACGGCTTTGTGTGAGTAAGAGGCGCCTGCCTCTCCCTCTCTCTACGAGCCTGCTAAAAGTTCGGGCTCTAAAATGGGCGGGGGTATGTGGGGGAGGGGAGAGGCGCCTTAGTTATTGCTTTAGGAAGTGGACTCCGGTGCCTTTGCGAGCAGGCCACCTCACCAGACAGAGCGGCTGCTCCATTTGCTTCGCCGCAAAGGCAGCTCAGCTCCTTTGAGTCGAGGGAGAAGAAAGGACGCCAGCCCTCTGCGGGCAGAGAGAGGCGGGGGCTGCGAAGGCCACACCCATTTTGCCGATGTTTTGCCCCCTGTTGCAGAGGTCTCCACACTTGGCAACTTGTAAGACTTGTGGACTTGAACTCCCAGAATTCTCCAGTCAGCATACAGCTGCACAGCTGGCTGGAGAATTCTGGGAGTTGAAGTCCACAAGTCTTACAAGTTGCCAAGTTTGGCACCAGCAATAGCACTTAGACTTTACAGCCCTCTCTACAGAGTCAGTATATTGCCCCCAACAATTTTACCCACCTTGGAAGGATGGAAGGATGAGTCAACCTTAAGCAGTTGAGACTCGAACTGCTGGAAGCCGGCAATCAGCAAAAGTAGCCTGCAGTACTGCATTCTAACCTCTGCGCCACCACGGATCAAACCTAGGGGCTCTTTGGTGGCTGTGGATTCTCCATCCTTCATTTCCCCACCCGGGGACCCTTTGGTTGACTGTGGGATTCAGAAACAGCCCAGTGTTAATGCCAGATCTGTCTTTGGGAAGGCAGAGGTAGTTGAGTACCGGAACAGAGGCTCTTTAAACACCTCCTACTTACTGCTCCTGATGGGAGGCAAGGCTTTATTCAACATGTGTTCCTTTGTGTAACTTCATCATAGTTGTTTTGTGGGTGATGTTTGTTGTCCTTTCTCAAACAGAAATGTAACTAACTACAAGGGGAAGAAATTGGTTTTTCCAGTCTTGACCTGTTCACTTGACCTTTTCTCTGTGGGTTGGTTTCTTGAGTTACAGAAGCCAAACAGCAATTGAGACTGGGACTGAAAACCAAGCAGTGCACTTCTGTTTCAGAACATAAAAGCTGGACTCTGAAGCCAAGGTTCAGAAGAATATGTATTTAAGGATTATTTAAGTCACTGGTAGGGCTATATTTACACAGTCTTATAACTGCAGAAGTAAAGCCCAAAGACATAATTATGTTAAAAAACAAAATTTTCATGAATGAAGGTAAATATATGTGTCCCTTGAGAATGTTGCAGGATCCAATCTGAGTCAGGGGATCAAAGATTTATTCTTCCAAGATTTTTTTTTTGGTTTTAGTTTGTCATTGCACCTTGTACAACGAAATTAAATGCCATCTTCAGTGTACATTATAACTATAAAAATAAAACACACACATCCTTTGCATTCTATACAATTGAATTGAAAAGCTCTAATATTGCATTAATATTACACTATACAGTAGAATTCAATAGAGTTACTGCTCTGGGATAGAAGCTGTTTTTCAGCCGATTTGTCCTTGTTTTTATTATTCTGTACCGTCTGCCAGATGGTAATAGTTCAAAAATAGGGTGCCCAGGATGAGATGGATCTTTGAGAATGTTTTGAACTTTCTTAAGGCAGCGGGAGCTATAAAGCTCTTCCAAAGAGGGGAAAGGGAAACCAATGATCTTCTGGGCAATGACGTTAATCCTCTGGAGCACTGTCCTATCTGCCACTGTGCAATTGGCAAACTATACACAGGTGCATTAAGTTAAAATACTTTCTATGATGCGGGGTAGAAGGTAACCAGCAGTTTTTCATTCAGTTGTTTCCTGAGAAGTCTCCGGTAGTATAATCTCTGCTGGGCCCTTTTGACCAGTGCTGTAATGTGAGCACCCCAGGTCAGGTTCTCTTTTATGGTAACACCCAGAAACTTAAAACTGACCACTTACTCCACTCAGTCTCCATTGATAAGGGAAGTATATGTCTGATCTATTCCTTCTGTAGTCTACTATAAGCTCCTTGGTCTTATTGGTGTTAAGGACAAGTTGTCTCCATACCACAAAAGCAACCCTCAGCTCCTAATTAGCTGGTGGTAAATCAGGATTCCTGTTGACTGACCGGGGGACAGTTTTGCAGGCTTCAATTATTTCTCCAACTATTTTTGTTTCTCTGGGCCAACAATCATAGCTATGAAGTTGAAAACATGTCTTTGTTCATTGAATGTGAAGCTATCAATGAGTTTGAGGCTCCTTGCCTAACTGCTCGCTTATGTTCTTTCTGATGGTTAGCTTCTTCTCTGTATGTCCCACATAGTAGCAGGGGACTATCCATGCAGGAAATCTGGTAAATTGCATTTGAGGTTTCTTCCACCTCTAAACGAATGAATGGTTTTCAATCTGCCTGCCTTAAAAAAATAAGCTAAGATAGGATAGATAGCTTTAAGCTCCTCTAAAAAAGGGAAAGAGTATAGTGTAGTGAAGAGGAAAATGAGAAAATTGTAGGTTTGGAAGAAACCATAAAGTTTGTCTAGTCTGACTTATTGCAAAATATAGGAAACTTATTTTTAGAATCCATGAGGGATTTGACTTAAGAACATCAAACAATGGAAAATCTACAACCTCCCCAGCTAAACTGCTATACAGGTCTTATCATCTGGAGGCTTTTTTACCTATTTCAATGAAATCCAGCTGGCTGCAACTTGTTATTTCTCATACTAATTTCTGTGGCTATGGAAAATTGTTTCATCTCATAATCATCTTTGTTACTGCTCTCTGAAGCAGTTCTAACCTGTCAAATCTCCTTCTGATAATATAGGATTCAGAATCAGACAGTACTTCAGGTGTGGTTTTGCTGTGCCAAGGAGAGGGGAACAATGATTTCATGTGTTTTAATGAGTGCTTCTTCTAATAGCAATAGCACTTAGACTTATGCTTTACAGCCCAGTCGTGACCAGGAGGGCCTTTGCACAACTGCACGTTGTGCACCAGTTACTCCCTTTCCTGGACCAGTGGTCCCTACTTACAGTCACTCATGCCCTAGTCACTTCCTGTCTTGATTATTGCAACGTGCTCTACATGGGGCTGCCCTTGAAGAACATCTGGAAGCTCCAGTTGGTGCAAAATGCAGCAGCCTGCATGGTTTTGTGCAGACCCCGGTGTGCACATCCTGTGGGAGCTGCATTGGTTGCCGATTTGCTTCCATGTGCTGGTTGTCATCTTTAAAGCCCTTCATGGCTTGAGATCAGGTTATCTGAGGGAACGTCTCTTGCCGGAGCCCAGAGCGGGATGGAGCTCATCAAATGGCTAGTGTGATCTGCTTTAGTCGGGACAAGGTTGGGAGTTGGGGGTGAGTTTTTATTTTTTTCCAGATTTTGTTCTATTGTACTTTATTAATTTATTTGATTCTTTTTGTTAGTTTTTATTGTTTTTTATTTTAAATATGGTTTTACATTCTGTAAGATGCTTAGAGTCGCCATGGGCGAATAGGCGGCAACATAAATAAAATTAAATAAATAAATAAATAGGCATTTATTTCTGTTCTCTACTTCGGAACTTCCTCATTTTTACTTATCTACAGGTGACTGCCCAAGACCAGTTCTACCTCCCCATTCTTCACTAAGAGGAGGAGGAAGCCTAGACGATACCTATCCAGCTGCAGCTGTTCTGAGATTACAATGCATTCCAGGTTATGAATATATATCTGGAATAACTCCTAAAATGACATGTCTTGACACTAGTAAGTGGTCAGATCTTCCTACACTTTGTCAAGGTGAGTATCTTTTGTCAACAACAGTGGCTGCTATGCAGTGTTGAATGAAATATGTTCAACTCTCCAAAATTGTCAGATTTAAAGTTGTACATTTAATTTCCATCCTATAACTTGGAATAAAACAGTAATTTAAAATTCTTCTGACTATTGGATTATGAGAATTTAGCAAAGAATATTTATACCAAGCAAAAAGAATAATGCAGTTTTAATAATGCGAAGCAAAAAATGTGATTTTTTTAGAAATTAAAAATTGTTTAGCAAAATGAACGTACAATACAGAAGAATTTAAAATTATGTTAGCAAATCTGTAATAGAGGATAAAGTTAAAATGGCAATCAAGAAGATAAAGCCAGAAAAAGTTCCAAGAAACATATACAGTTGAATAATTATTTTTCAAGAAGCAAGCTCCAGCCATTTTTTGCACAAGGAAGTCCTGGCCAGTGTGCAAAAGAAAACTAAGTGGTGTGTGAAAGAAGGACCCTGTCAGTATTGGGGTACAGCATGGCACAGACAGTCCTGCCAGGCTTTAGAACCTTTCCATGGTGCTTCCCCTTGCATGTGGCTGGGATGATAAGCCCAGGGGAGAGAATGCAGGCCACAGAATCAGACAACTTGCTGCAGCCAACTCTTCATAGGAGAACTTGCTGCAGGACAATTCAATTCATTTAAAATAATTAAAAATTATTTTAATGTTTGCCTGTTGCATTTTATTTTGTTCCTCCTTTTGCATCCTTTTTTTAATGATTCTGTTTCACCATTGCTTTAATATTACTGTAACTCTTGTCCTGCGGCGAATTGTCTTGTTGTGAGTTGTCCCAGACTCCCAGGCAAGCAAGTGGGCAAAGATGACCAAGGTCAGCCAATCCACATGTTGTCAAACTACTCTGAAGGAAAGTTTAACTAAACTTTAACCCAAAAATATATCAATATTACAATAATAAAATCATAGGGCTGGAAGCAACCTTGGGGATCTTCTAGTCCAAGAGCCAAGCTAGAAATCCTTGTACCATCCTGAATAAATGGTTGTCCAATCTTTGGACAATAATGCAGAAAATTATTTTTTATTCCCCCATTACCTTATGTATGACAAAGAGATAATTGTTTACTATCCTGTTTCAAGATGATACATTAAGGGGAAGGAGGGGACCGAGATCCTTAAAGTGTAGAAATTGTAGAATATGGGTCTTCAATAAATTGAATTCAATAAATTGAAATAAGTTTAATTTTATATTTATTATTGATAAAAAGGTCCTCAGAGATAGACATAAAAATTAAGCTTCATTTATACAGGTACTCCAGAATCTATGAAATACCTGGGGATTATTATTCTTGGGAAAATATCTTGTCTAGTAGATAGGAGCTTTGCAATTTAAATTTCCCAGATGGGTGAGGATATTAAGATATCTCTGTTTCTGAGGAACATCAATATTGCACCAAGATTTTTAAAAAGAATATAAATTGTGATGACCCGTAGTCAGTCTCTCAAAATAACCCAAAACATACATTAAAGTCCGTAATGCCTTCAACTTAACTTCACTGTTTTATTACTCACAGTTTAATCTCACAAAAGTAAATAATGAGGCAAAAAGAAAACCAAAACAAACCGCATTGACAAAGTTCCGAAGCAAGCCAAGATAATTAATCATACATTCCAGGAAGAAACCAAGGAGAGTCCATGGGAAGAATGCCAACAAAAATAACCTCTTTCAAAGTTAACACTAAATTTTGACTCCAGCAGTTACAAACTTATATACATAGCTCCCAACTGCAAGCCACGAGGAGGATCATGGTAATCTCCTCCTGAGTAGACCTTGCTTTTCCCTGATCCTCTCCTCCCTGCGTGACCTAGGATGGATAGGGGATGGGCCTGGATCTTCCTCTGATTGCTCAGCCGGCCTCTGCCCTTCCCCAGCCTCCTTCACCACCTCTGGATCCACACTCCCACTCCCTGTTGGCTGTTCTTCCTCAGAGTCAGTCTGCACCAGGGGCATGACAGAAATGTTCAAGAAATTTGAAATAGAGAATTAGACACTCCTCTATTGTATAATCATGTCTTGGGGTTTAAAGAATGTTACCACTGAATATGTTTCATATGATTTAAAAACTGTTTTATATGATTTAAAAACCTGAGTAAGTAAAACAATTAAGAGGTGGGCTATTGTGTTGATGAACAAATATTGTACAAATATCGATACCATTCATTTTATGAAGATGTAATAATTTTGAAAAACAATCTTTCTATTATACATGATATATACCCTCCAATAATAATTTCTCATTGTTTAAATATTTCTGTGATGAAGAGTGACTAGGAGGGAAGTTAAGAATGAAAACTCTTTAATAATCTGTTAAAATATATCCTCCAAATTAGGAATTTGTTCATCTACAAAAATTAGTTTGCATGTTCTGCTTGATCTTTTGCAAAAAAGGTAAATTATGTACACATGGAAAGATGTTTATATATTAGAAAACAATTGGCTTAATGACATTTTTCAACACTTGACTTTTGAATTGGCTTTGTGTCAAAACCGGTAAGTTTGTAGAATTCTATTCTGTGTTGTGTAGATTCAGTTTATGGTTTAATAATTAAAAAATAATATTTGGAATTTAGAAATTTGCACAGTTCCAGTGTTTTATTGTCTGTTTTAAAGTTTTTAGTTTGTTTTCTTTTTAAGCATGTAATTTATTTTCTATAGTTCTGTACTATGCATATGTAATTATAATTATGTTAGTAATTATTTTTATTGTTACTATATGATTAGAATTTTAAGAGATTTTAATATACACAGAGAACGTTTGAAAGACTTTGACTCAGTAGCATCAAGCTTTTTTCCAATTCATGCAGCTGTTTCATAAACTACTTTTGTCTATTTTCATATGTAAGTGCATGAACAGCCACTGAACTGAAAAGATATGTACAGAAGCTGTGGATAGTTTGCCAAGTAGCACTACATTGCAAAATAACTCTTTTGAGGGATACAACTATAATATAATATGGAGAAATGTGAAGCTAGAATAAGTACATGATAACATCAGTTCCAATCTTTTAGGAAAGCGATGTCCTGTTCCAAATATAGAAAATGGCAAAATAGTATCTTCAGATGACCTCCGACTTGGTGAAGAAGTAATCCTTGGTTGTAATTATGGGTAAGTTAGAGATTATTTGTTGAAGCAAATTGTAAAAATATCTTTGGAAACAATGGACAAAAAAATATAATAAAATCTGAATTGTAAACCATAGTAATTATCTATATTCCTATAGATCAGTGGTGGCTAACCTTTTTGGGCTCCTGTGCTGAAAATTTTGGGCTCCTGTGTCAGCACCCAGAAGGCAATGCGTGCGGGGAGGGGCATGTCCCCTGCAAATGTGCGTGTGAACCCCTCCATGCCACGCGTCTCTGCACAGGCACGCATGATCCCTCTGTGCATGCATATGCAATCCCTCCCGCGTGCTATGCATCTCTACGCATTCATGTGTGATCCTAGCGTGCACTGCACATCTCTGCACATGCGGACGAGAACCCTCCCTGTGCACCCCACGTGTCTCTGTGCATGCGCGCACATCTCCCATGCATGAGCGCCAGATACCCAACAATCAGCTGGTGGGTGGGCAGCGCATGCACAGTGGGGCTCTTTTGAGCAACCTCTCGCGTGCCAGTACTTCTAGAGATTCTTACTAGGTAAATAAATACCAGAGTATTATAATGGTTGGAATCCTACATTTTAGTACATCATAATATAATTTATTTGGTTTGAGTCAGCATGTTCTGTGAACCCAACCTGTTGTGGCTTATTTTAGAAATTTCTAAATCCATGGCTGAGAAATAAAACTTTTCTTCCCTTTAGGTACAGAATAATAGGTGGCACCACTCGTCAGTGTGTTTTAAGATCAGGCGTAGTTGACTGGAATAGAGAACTTCCATCTTGCGAACGTAAGATGATACTTTATTTTAAGCTTATTAAGATTCTTTTGGTGCTTTTACGTTTAGCTTAATAGCAAAAGTTCAGTCTGCTTAGCTTTTAGTTGAATATCCCAAAGGTGCTTTTTCAAAAGGCAACTGGATTTTCTTTGTTTTTACTTGAAGATGTTTCGCTTCTCATCCAAGAAGCTGCTTCAGTTCTGAAACTTCACCTCATCCAAGCTTTTTGAATGAGAAATGAAACATCTTCAAGCAAAAACAAAGACAGACAAGTTGTCTTTTGAAAAAGTATCTTTCAGACAACCATAACCTGGATATACATAGCGAATCTAGATGAGTTCAAATTCAAAGGACCAGATGGATTGTCTCAAACATGGTATTTCAAAAGGCAACTGCGTTGGTTTTTTCTCTGAGCAAGAAAAACAAAATGTTTCACTTCTCACCCTAGAAGTTTCATCAGTTTTTGGATGAGAAGTGAAACATTTTGTTCTTTTTCCTCAGGATAAAAAAATCAGTCCAGATGCCTTTTGAAAAGGCACCTTTGAAACAACTATGACCTGGAGGACTGAGAATTTCCAGACATTGACCAGATAAATTCCATTCCAGGTTTTGAAGAAACTGGCAGACATAATCTTGGAACCACTGAATATAGTCTTTCATAACTCCTAGAGCATGGGGGAATGACCCAAAGACTGGAGAAGAGCTAATGTGGTTCCGAACTACACAAAGTGGATACAGGAAGCCACCATATGCTGCCTTTTCCTAATTTTTACTATCTTTGGCTTAAGCATAGGAAAAAATATTGAAAAAAAATGTTGCAATGGAATCTGGAACTTTCGGAAATAACCAGTTTAACCTTGACATGATTCATGTCCACTAAAGAAACTATTATTCCTGCTATCCTTTTTGAAATCACAACCTTGCATAGGATCCTGCCTCTTTAAATCTCAAACTTTTAGGTCAAGTCACATTAGCACAATGTAAACAGGCAGCCTTTCAGTCTATGGCTCTTCTATTGTGAGCATCACCTGCCATGCAATGTAGTCGGTCATATCACTTTTCTCAGTATATTCTTTTGTTGTATTCTATCAAGAGATGGGTAACCTCCACAGTACTTCCATAGGAAGAACATACTTTTTCTAGCTTAAACTTGCATATGGAAGAGATTCTAATGGGGAAGACCACTTTGATAATAACATTGTGAAGAAAGCCTATCCAGAATCTGGACAGCAAATACTTATTAGATAGGAATGTTGTCCCTGGCAGGAGAAAAGTGACTTTGGTGGTCTGGTTGATCGTAGAAAGAATTCCAAAAATGTGCATTTACTTGGTGGATTCAAGAAATCAATTCAAGCAGCCAAATATTTGTATCATGAAAAAATTTAAATCTGAATGCTTTGCAATTCTAGCCTAATTGAATTCATTGAATTTTTTTTCTCCAGGTATTCCTTGTGTTCGTCCTCCTGTAATTGCCAATGGAAGATATGATCCCAATCCTTCAGATGTATATGATGCTGGCTGGATAGCAATCTATCGGTGTGATCCTGATTATTCCCTTATTGGAAATCCTAAAATTACATGTGTAGTTGCAGAAAATGGTTTAGATGGAGAGTGGGATTTGCCTTCACCTGAATGCAAAAGTAATGGAATTTATGTTATTTTCCTTACCTTCAATATGTCAACTTGCTTTTTTATTAGTTCCATACATTTATGCTCTTGCTGAAATCTGGTAATCTAATCTTCTAAGCATTGGGGAGCTGTGGATTGTCAAATGGAATCTATCTGAGTGAAACAAGTTTGTACAAGTTACAATTGAAAGCAATGTAAACATAGTTTGAATAATTTATTGTGTTCAAATTTGGTAATAATCCCCTTGAGAACTTGATTGGACTTGTGCTCCATTGTGTTAGGAGCATAATTTTAAAAACTCATTTCTTTCTGATTTGGTTATTACATTTATATGGTGGCCATCTTGCTATCCAAAGTGACTTTGACTGGCTTACAGTATAATAAAAATATCATAATTATAAGAACAATTAAAGTTATAAAAATTAAAGAATAGACTAAAAACCAAGGACTTAAGCAGAAGGGAAGTGGTGTATTCTTCAACCAAAAGCATTTCTATCAAGCCCCACACCATCCATGGAGTAATTGCAAGCTAAAACATTGGATAGTATCTTATAATTTAATGAGATCATCCCAACTCCAAGAGAACCATGTTTCTTAATCATAAAAAAGAAATCTTAGGGTGAACTCTTTCATCCTAATCTAAGAAACTATATCTCACTGGCTGTCAATGTTGCATATTTATAATAACAGTTATATATTTGGGTCAGTTAATTATTAAATCTGCAGGTAATCATTTGTGTATCCATTTACTGTTGTTTCATGCAACTCCTGCAAACAAGGGGCAGCCATATTTGATATTCTTTTCAACCAAAGTTAAGCATATAATGGTTTCTAGTCTAAAGATTACAAATGCCAGCAGCAAACCATAATTATGTCACATGGTGATGCCATTATATGCATGCATGCATGCCACCATTATGTCCTTATTTCCTATTCTGTGACAGAAATATATAACTTACAGCATTTGTGTAATGATAATATCATGGCATACTTTTTCATTTCCCCCTCATGAAGCCAGCTGGTTTTTGATGCAATATTTGGTGCAAACTAGACATTGATTTCTTTTCCAGAGGTCAAGTGCCACAGACCAAGCATCCCAAATGGAAACGTGGCAAGTGTGTTTCAAGCTACATATACATATCAGGATAATTTAGAGATTGAATGCAATCCTGGCTACACTTTGTTAGGATCTTCTTCGATTCAATGCGACAGTGATAGTCAGTGGAAACCATCTCTTCCAGTGTGTGATAAGAGTAAGTAATGTTTTTTAAAACTTTGTTGAACATCAGTGTTGAAAACTTTAAAGTTGAGCATCCTGGGTCTGGAGAAAACTACATAAACATTTTCCCCTCTCTTTTTGTGTAGTCCCTACCACTTCCAAACCAACCAAACCCCCCACACCTGCTGTTCCTTCTACTCCCCCAATTCCCCCTAAGCCTGGCACTGTTTCACCAAAAGAAGATGGCACTGAAGGTGAGTCATCACAAGATTGGATTGCTAGTCAAAACTCTTTTTCAGGGTGCAGACGATTTGGTCTTGGAGGAAAGACCCTATAGACACAACTGTTATTTTAACTGCTTTCCATCCTTTTCTTGTGCAACTAATCTACAGAATGGCTTACAATTACGGGGTTGTGATGACCCAAAGTATATCAGAAATATAACAAAATCCAAACGTAACTAAAAGTCCTTTAATGCCTTCAACTTGGCTTCACTGTTTAATTGTTCATAGTGGAGGAGTAAACTGTTTTCAAAATAACATTTCAAAGGTAAGAAACAGTTCACATTCAAAGAGCCAATAACGAAGCAAAAACCAAAACCAAACCGCATTGAATAAAGTTCCACAACAGACCAGGATAATTAATTATAAACTTCAAGAAGATAACCAGGTATATAGTCTGTTGGAAGAACGCCAACCAAGATAAACCTCATCCAGGAATAAAACACTCATTTGTCTCCAGCGTTTGTTAGCATGCAGGTCCAACCTTTTATGCAGATCTCACACCTGCAAACCATGAAGAGGATCATGGCCCTCTCCTCCCGAGTATACCATGTTTTACCCTGATCCTCTCCCTGCATGCCCAAGGATGGATAGGGGATGGGCCTGGGTCCTCCTCTGACTGCTCAGCCAGCCTCTGCCCTTCCCTAGTCTCCTCCACCACCTCTGGAGCCACACTTCCACTCCCTGTTGGCTGTTCCTCCTCTTCCTCAGAGTCAGTCTCCACCAGGGGCATGATGGGTTGTGAATATTTGGGTAATATGTTTCATTTCATTTAACAGACTATAGTGGTATTTCCTTGCCTCTTGAAAGAATGACATATGCTTAAGTCTTAAAAAACTGCGATGTAAATCTCCCTTTTGCCCAAGGAACAAATATGGATCCCCATGGAGCACTGAGCGTAAACAAATTATTCTGTAGTGTTACTGACTCCCCTTTACTATCACCATGATTGTAACTGAATTTCATGAGTTTTTTGAGATGTTAGTAGTTTAGATCTTCAAGGCCCTCTTAAAGAGCAGCAGAGTCAGCTTAGGGTGTGGTTCTAAAGGACAGGTATCACAATAGAGAAAATACGCATCCTGGATATCTTTAAGACATTTTTTTTTTGGATGAGCCAGAGCAGAAACTCATGGAGAAAGGTGGTTCTGCAAATCTTCAAGCCCTGAATAATGTAGAGCAGAGATGTCAAACTGGCGGCTTACGGGCCAGATACGTCACACATAGGCCATGCCCATCCATGCTCTGCAAAGGGAAAAAACATTGTGAAACGTCACATGACAGCAACATATTGCGGCAAGTTTGAAACCCGTGATGTAGAGTGTCTTCTGGAGTTTACAGATTCTTTGGCAAGAATTTTCTTCATATAGTCTGTGGCGGAATAAGTGCAACCGTCACTGGTCTTTCAAAATCAGAATAATACTGTGTCTATTTTCTCAGCTTATTGATCTGGAATTTTTTATATTTTATTCATGTTTATATTCATTGATTTTATTGTATTTTTTAATTAATTGCTATTATGCATGAACAAATTTAGGACAATTGCCCTTCCTAAGCCTTTTAGTCTTGACCTAATGACCTTGAAGGAGCTGTTTTGCAAGTGCCATTGTTGCAGAAGCAAATCTTCCTCTTAGATAAAAGGGACTTTATTTTCTGTTTGCATCAAACTGCATATTCTTGAAAATATTGCCAAGTGATTATTGAACAAGCTTTTTGCAACCATTCATCCATTTGTGAACCACTCTTAGGGAGCAAGAGTAAGCTCTTACAGCTGCAAATTCCAATTCCGTCATCTTCAACTATTTCCAAAGCTTCTGCTATGCCTCAGAGGTTTCCTGGGAACCTTCATGCATCTCTTCTCAAGTGTGCATGAAATACTGGTCATCTGCTGGAGCCCTCAGGATTCTCCTGCATAGGTATTAACATTATGGACTTCATATGGCAAAAGGCTAAAGGCTCCTAAAAGATTTGTCTCACTCAGTTCTGATCTGAGGGGAAGAAGTATTGTAATATTAGTTAAGAATCCTGCCCACACACAATCCACTAATTTAGAACCTGTAATTTATAACTTTCATCATGCTAGTTTTCTCTGATAGCCATTGCTAGGTTTACTGTTCTTTGAGTACTCCACAGAGTTGAGACTATTTAAGGGAGAGATTCACTTTGATAGACATTGCTATAAGTTGTTACTCTCCAAATAATTTATCAAAATGTATCCTTATGAAAATGTATCCAAAGCCAATCACCGTGCAGAGTATTTTGACGATGGTGATCCCAGTTATCTTCACATCAGCCTTTGCTTTTTTTCCCTAGGCCTGGCTATTGCCTTTATGTAAAATCTGTCACATCTATTCAGCTGATGTATAATTCCTAATGCAGCTCAAGATGCAATATGCCTATTCTATGTGCTGCTCCTCTGTCCCATTCTCTTCCTGTTTTCTTCCACTCAAGAGCCATGAATCTCTAATTCAGAATTGTTTTCAGGAATGATCTGTAAGTGGTAGCTCCTAACATGGACGTTTCTTCTGTTCAGGATATTCCTTCAAGGCAACTCATATTGATTCAAATTATTTAAAAATCACTACCTTTTTAATCATCAGGGAGCTGTTCTGCATTTTTGAACAGTATCAAACCCCAGATGACTGTAATAGCTTTCTGTCTTGTTATTCACCCTTTTGCAAAGTTTTGATTTCTCTATTAGAAGGTGATAATTATGTATCCAGTGTAACAGTTTGTGTTGGTTTCTATTTTTGTTGTTGCTATAGTGGGTGTTGCTTGATACTCGTTTGGGAACCAGAAGCTGGGTTTCTTGCAAATGTCATGGTTATAGGCAAATTTGTCAAATGGCATTTGTTTTAAAGCCTGGGAGGTCAACTGTCTTTACAGATATAGAGAACCCAGCTTACCAGTAAGTGCAAAATACCACATCTCCAGTCCTACCTATGCTCCTTGATAAACATATGGATAAGGACTGGAGATGTGGTATTTTGCACTTACTGGTAAGCTGGGTTCTCTATATCTGTAAAGACAGTTGACCTCCCAGGCTTTAAAACAAATGCCATTTGACAAATTTGCCTATAACCATGACATTTGCAAGAAACCCAGCTTACCAGTAAGTGCAAAATACCACATCTCCAGTCCTTATCCATATGTTTATCAAGGAGCATAGGTAGGACTGGAATGTTGCAAGTATACTAGACAATGGAAGAAAAAAAGGTTACTGGAAAAATATCTGAAGGATAGTAAAAAGGATGCACTGAAGCTAGTCTACCATGAAGGCTTACTAAGTACTGGAGAGGCCATATTGGCTCAGAAGAAGATCAAATAAAGAATAAAAAAGAGACAAGACAAAGTATTACATGGTTAATACATTAAAAAATAGGCAAAGAAAATAATAATAATAATAACAACAACAATAACAACAACAACAATAATAATAATAATAACCTTTCTACCCAAACTCTAAGCTTAATTGTGATAAGTGAAGGACTATTTGTAAGAGGACAAAAATGCCAAACCCAGTGAAAACCTCTCTCTGACTGCCTTAGAGATCTTACTGTGAAGGAACATTTTGACATTAGATATATTGCCCTTTCTTCAATCAGTTAACATTAAATAGAGTTGGTCCATTTTCTAAGGGCCTCAAAAGCTCTAGCCTTCTGTTTGCTTGAATTTTGTTTATTTCTGGCCTAATAAATCTATTTGGATCTTTCTAGCTTTCATTAACCAGCATAATCATTATGTAAATTATATCAACAGCTGACAAGTGATAGTAACACTTGGGATCTGCAATCTCTTTAAGAAAGCTGTGGCAACATTTGCAGCTTTGCTTTATATGATTTGTCTACCAAAACTCTGCAAGTAGCCACAAGAATTCAGCTTTCTACTTTCGTACACCACAATTGACGGAGTCTCTTTACTGAACCTTAACTCCCAAAGTATATCTGGAGTCTATGCAAATAAAATAATTTTCCAGGAGGGAGGGATTTAAGAGGAAAAATGTGTTTTAAACCTCTCAAGAAAAAAAACCCCATTGTGGTTCTACACACATCTCTGAAATTATGATATAACTCAAGCTGGAGTTCTCCATGACAAAACATTCTTGACTCCTCAAATTTACTCCAAAACTATGCCATACATGAGCTAAACATCTTTAACAATGCCATCCTTTGTTGTCTTAACTCAGGGGAGGTAGCTGGTGTTCTTGGTTTCATTTTTACTGGGAATATTTTATCATTGCTAGGGATTTTTGGACTTCCTTTAAGACTAGTTTCCCATAAGGCCTAATTTAGAGAGTGTATTTCTTCATATTGCTTTTCTTTGATACATTCTCAGCTTTTTCTTCCCCTTAACCTTCCTTCTGCCTTTTTTTTTTTGTTCTTTTGAGGTTTAAAGGAGGAAATTCTATCAGGCACCTTCTTCATCAGCCATCATGAAATCTGACCAATGCAGTTATTCTTAATTGTTCCTGTTAACTTCTGCTTTAATTGTTTATGCTTAGTATACATTTTAATCTTTTTCTTTTTAAACAGACAATGCATTGTGTCAGGGGAATTTCTTTAAATAATCATAACAAAACATAATTTTGGAAAACTACAAGAGAAGACTAATTTAAATGTAGCATGGATTGATTACAATAAGGCATTCAACACTTAGAAATAACAGAACTCAGTAGAAACATTAGAAGCTTTGTGCAAAGATCAATGGCTCAATGGAAGACACAGTTGCAGGTTGATGGTGAGAGACTGGGGGAGAGGTTAATATCGAGAGGAATATTTCAAGGAGATTCATTATCACCACTATTATGTATCATTGCATTATTTCTACTATCAACAATACTGAATAACTTCGCCCATGATTATCAAACATCAACACCCCTCTGACTTTTTAGGAAACGTGATAAAACAATGTGTGCATGGATACCTGTGGATATATGTCTTTAGGGATGATGATATGTTGTAACTTTCTCGGTATCACTGATATAATGTTCTTTTGCACATTTTTTGATTGGCAGGGCAAATATGTGATTTATATTTGTATTTGTTTTCTGCTTTACATCCAATTTCTGCCTCATCTGTGAAATGCATGTTCTATTGTGCTATGTAACTTGGAATGTGGATTCCAGTTTACACTCAGTTGTGAAACTTTTTAAAAAATATATACATCAGCAGTCTCCAACCTTTCAGGCTCAACAGACAAGTGGAGGTGGGGGAGGGGAGAGGGAATGGTTTTGCGCATGCACACTGCTTTCACAAATGCAGCTTTGTGTGCATGCACATGTGCACGCTCACTCACCACTTCTGCAGCCCCGTTTTGAATGGGCTGTGGTCCAGCACTGAGTTGTGGACTGGGGGGTGGGGGGGTGGGGGCAGACCCTGTATACATGGTAGTTTATCAAAATTTTAAATTTGACTTTCTTTTTTCAAAGAAATGTTTGATAAACTATCATGTATATCAGGATTCCCTACCCCTGGTCCACAGCTCAGTGCTGGACCACAGCCCATTCTGAACTGGCCTGCAGAAGTGGTGGGTGAGCGGGCACATGTGCATGCACACAAAGCTGCATTTGTGCAAGCAGTGTGCATGCGCAAAACAATTCCCTCTCCTCTTCCCTGCCGCTGCCTCCACTGGCCTGCCGAGCCTTGGTTTTTGTGCTGATATATTTTCATTGCTTAGTTCTGATTAAGCTAGATGCTTTTAATATACTGGCTGAGTTTACTCTTGCAGAATTTTACTTACAATATATGTTAACCTATATTACATTACATTAAGCTTTTTTCAGTTAAATTGTTTATCTATCTTCCAACTATTTGTTTTCTTTATTAGATTGCTGTTATAATTTATGAAGTCTTTCAGCTTTAAATGTTATGTATGACATTGCCTAAAAAGTCCAGATTAGTCTTTAAACTTTTTTTTTTCTTACAGCTGCAGGGCCCCCAACTACAACTCAAACAACTCCCAAGGATGAACCAGGTAAAATCGCAAAGTATTGATGATGGAAAGTAATTATTTAGACTAGCATTTGCATTTCTATAAGAGGTCACTTTTGTTTTTGTTTTTCTGAAATAGTTTTCTCTAAATTCTCTGAAATATGAGAGATAAAAGAGAGGGAGAGAATATGAATTATTCAGGAATCCTTTTAAAAATCTTTTTGGTCAATTTCATACAAATGTATTTCAAAATTTCTTGCACAGTCCTATACTTCAAAATACATGTACAATATTATACTTAAAGTCCTGAAATATTTTTGGGATCACTGTTAAAGATAATAAATTAACAACTTAAATAATTCAGTCACCTTCAAATGAATTTGAATAATTCAGTAATTCATTATTTGAATTACTGAATTTAGAATGTCAATATCTTTCCCATTTTTAGTTTTGCATGTATGTGTGTGTATGTCTATCTGTGCAAAACTAAAAAAAGTGGGAAAGATGTTGAAGTTCTGAATGAAAGTGATTGAATCTATCAGAACAATATTGAATGAAAGTATGTAGACAATAGAAGGATATGGCAAGTAGTTAATTGTATTGGCATAATTAGCCTTAATCGTTTTAGCTATCTCATATTTCATCTTTTTTATTTATTTTGCTTTATACTTTTTACGTGCTTTGAGTAATTTTGTTTACCCCAAAAGGGAATAACATGATGGATTTACTGTATATGTATGTTAAAATAGTGTGAAACTTTTACTAAATATGTTCAAGTTTTTGATCACGTTTATTCTTTGGATTGTCTTCTCTTTTAGGATCTGGCCATGTTATTGGAATTGCTATTGGTAAGTACTTACAGACTGAACTACTATGGTTGCATTTAATGTTTGACAGAAATTAACAGAGATCATTTAATGCACAATTCCTTCCTTAGAAGGGCTATGACTCCCACCCCTTCTTATAAGGCAAGATCTTTTTCTGCCCTCACAATTTTTCCCATGTTTTAGATTCTCTTTTGGCTATTTTTAAATATTTTGTTTCCTGTGTTTGCTAGTTAAATTCATGGGAGAGTATTTCAACTTGATAAATTATTTTGGTTACACGGTGGGGGATTTTCTTTTTCTTTATGTCAGGGTCATTTTTACAGCTGGAATCTCTTAAAGGCAGAAAAAAATCTGGTTGTACCAGAAATCTGTCATTCCAAGAGGAAAACTGTGTTTGTCATCCAACCATCCTCTCCTCCCAAAAAGGGAACAAATCCAGGTTCATATTAAGCTTATTATTCAAGATATCTGTTTTCAGATATCTACTTCCTCAATTCTCATGGATCACAGGGGGCTGCAAATATTAAAATAGCAAAATATACATTTTTAAATTCCATAAAAATATAGCAAATATTAGCATATAAGAAAATTGTGCCCTTTACGTATGTTCATGTATATGCACATGCACACACACACACATGTCTATACAGTAATCAATTTCCAAAGTCCTTCTGGAAAAATCAGTTTTTACTATTTTTGAAAGTGTTGGGTTACAAGCCATTCTTGACTGGGGACAAGCTGGCCCTCAGTGAACTGCCACTGAAAATACCTGTTATCAACACACCTTCCACTGCAACTGCTGTTTGGTCGGGACCTTCCATGGATACTGTCTCCATATCCAAGAGGGATGGGCAGGAACAATAAAAGGAAAGTGATTTGTTAACTGCCCAGCCCCACGCCATAGCGGGTCTTAAAGAAACGAAAACTTTTAATTACTAAAGGAAACACATTGGTAACCACAGAAGTAATAGCACTTAGACTTATATACCGCTTTATAGTGCTTTAAAGCCTTCTCTAAGCACTTTACAGAGTCAGCTTATTGCCCCCAACAATCTGGGTCCTCATTTTACCCACCTCAGAAGGATGGAAAGCTGAGTCAACCTTGAACCTGAACTGCCTGGATCTGCCTGAATGATCTGCTTGAACAATCAACCCTGAACTACAAATATTCTCCTTTAGTGACATCTGTCTAGCCCAGGTTTTTGGGAAAGACTTGATAGGTGGATAAAAATGCAAAATAAACTCTAAACATTTGGCTGATGTGTGATCAGCCATAATACAAATAATAATGCCCTTCATTCATGCAGCAAAATTGACAGACTCTACTTACCAAAGAAAATAGGTGGATGTGGAATGTTGAAAGTACACCAGACCATTTAAAGAATAAGAAAGGTCTTTGGAACAATATATGAAGGACAGGGAAGAAGATACACTAAAAAATACTACAGTACATCATGAAGGGTTACTGAATTCTGGAGAGATCAAACCAGTCTATGACAAAGGCCAACTAAATACACACAGGGGGAAAAAGGCAAAATATTACCTGGCCAGTATATACAACAAAAACTAGCAGGCAAAGCAGATAACAAGAGCTGGCTATGGCTAAGAGCAGGAAAGTTGAAGAGAGAGAGGGTCTAATTCCAGTTGCCAAAGATCAAGCCTTAAGAACAAATGCATACAAAGTCAGAATTGATAAAGATAGTAATAGAAATCAAATGTTGTTTCTGCGAAGAAGCTGAAGAACAGTGGACTACCTACTTAGCTGCTGCAACAGTGCACTGGAATATCTGCAGGAAGTCCCAATTGCCTGCAAGCAAGAACTGGTGGCACAGCAAAAATAATAGAAAATGAAGATGCTAAAGTGCTTTAGAATTCAAACACACAAATACCTGCCACATAACACCCCAGACTTAATAACTACAGTGGAACCTCAGGTCATGAACGCTTCTGGTCACAATTTAAAAATTGGGTGGCAAACAAACCCAGCCCTGGCAGATTCCCTTTCTGCACTGATTTCCCCTTCTGCACATGCACAGTCCATGCAAATTTTTGTCCATGCAAGCACAATGCTTCTACTATATCTATACTTGAGCCTGGATGGAGATGTGTAATTGGGTATCATCAACATATTGAGGATATATCATCCTACCTTGGCAAATTAATTTGCCCAATAGATTTAATTTAAATGTTTAATGTTCCCATGTCTAAAACTGAAGTTTATATTACCATACCCTCCCTCTCCCCTCTCTTAAATTATCCTGCCCACCACTCTTTATATTGTTCTCAGTCAGCTGGAGTCAAAGAGAGACAGGCCCCTCCCTCTCTGTTTACTCATTCCAGAGAGGGGGCCTGATTCTCAATCCTCCAACAAATCCTTAGTTCTTTTCTGGACTTTGTCTAAATTATGAGATTAGAAGTTCTCACTAATGTTTTCTTTTCTCTGCTGTTTTTATCAGTATTAATTAACAGTAATCACTTATTATTTATACTGATGGACTAGCGTAAGTCTTTCCTGGTTTTATTATAAATGTAGTACGTACCTTATTATTGAATTAAATTGGATTCCAGGAAAGTGAGAAAATATTAAAGGTGTTACATTTGTTTATCTATCCGGTTTGGTTTAATTGTTGTGCAGGGTGACTGTTTGCTACTCATTGGTGTAATTTTTTTGTCATTTATCAATCTTCTATGAAGATTCAATACTGAATTTCACATTCTGTTCAGGACATGTACAAAGCATAAAGCAGCAGCTATGTAGAACTCACAAGCAGCTTTGTCTGATTCTAGGAATGCTCAGCAGAATCTGAAACTTCCTTTCTACAGTCACATGATCCCAGATAAAAAATGTAGAACTTGTATTTAATCTCATGCAGATGCTACAAATGTGCTTCCGTGCATTGCGGAGCATCTTTTTAAAGCAATTCAAATCCCTATTTTTTTTTCTCTTTAGTCAGATATTTTTGCATACATGAGGGTGTGTACCAAATGTCAGTCTCCATAGGCCAATCAGAATATATTTAATTTATTTTCAGAGAAAATGTTACTGTTTAAAGGTAACGGAGCAAATAAGGAAATGTTGAAAAAAATGGCCACTAATTCAAACACGTAATGTAATTTCTATATGAAATTGTCTGTGGGTCCTGGCTTTTAGTATCCTCTGTATATACAAGGTGATGTGGGCAGAATGGTTTGAAACATACCTTGAAAGTACTGTCAGAAGTTTGTATATGATGATTGATACTACTTTTGAATATGAAGCTATCACATTTTTTCCCTTCAAGGAGCTGTCATTGCCGCTATAGTTCTAGCTGCTTTAATTTATGCAGCTGTGAGATGGTTCTCTCTCCAGGGGTGAGTCAGCCCAAGATATACTGTCTCTAATTCCTTCTAGCTTCTTCGTAGCTGCATGAGCAGCCATCTCTAACTTGCCAGTGCCGTCTTTAAAGCCTACAATTTTCATATAAATGTGCTTTGTGTCCAGAAGTAACTTCTGTGCTGTGTGCTTGAACAATTGCAAAAAATCTACAGCAAAGAAGGAAGAAGAACAAAACATTATAGTTTGTCTAGAATGGCTAATCTAAATTTAATCACATCTCCAGCACCAGTGTTCTGGAGTGACAGAGCTGATCTGTCTGTTTGCTATTTGTTTAATTGCAGGCTTGGCAATGCTTGTTGAAAAAAAGTAAAATTATTCATATTGCCCTGATCTGCTGATATCAGAGATTTCTGTCTCTGACTTCCTGGTACCCTAATGAAATGGAATCATTAAAATGTTTCTTTGTGAAATTTGTATTGTTTTGTTTGGAACAGCTTTTAATCTACTTGCAACTTTGGTATCTTTCTAGACAGATTACAATGGGCATCCTGTCTTGTGTATGTTGCTTGCTTTCTGTCTCTGTGCAGGAGTATTGTTTTTGATACCGTATATCATTATTATATTTTCATATAATTCATATACAGTTACAGGATTTTGTAAGCACTAATTTAGATTTATTCATAAATTGATTTTCAAATCAGTTTTCTTAACCACAGGTTCTTTGAGCAGTAATCCTTAATCACTATCATTGCATGTGCTCATCTTTACTTGTAAAGAGTATATAGATGTAATCTTTTGATAGAGTACATATTCATACATTTTTGAGAATCTTAGTAGACTAACACTTGTGCAATCTGTAGGGAGCTATATTGTGATGCTTTGCAAAAAAAAAATTACTGCGAACTTTGTTTTCTAGCATTTATGAAATACTGTCTTACTACTTAAGATTACTAAAGCCTGGCTCTTTCCTTCTTGAATCTGTTCATTTTTCTAATATTATCTGTCTTCCCTTTAGGCCACAACATTCTAATTACACCTTTATTTTGCTGAAAGACTTCTTTAAATAATCAAATCTTCTGTTTTCAGATTTTCTATTAGCATCATCCAATTTGCTGTGTTGTTTTGCGGGGAGTGGGGAGGTCTACATACATGAATATGAGTGAGCTGATTTAAGCATGCACCCAGGAGAAGTTGTGGGGATGCCTGTTTTCTCCATTGATTTGCTTTTGCTTTCTTTGCCTTCTTCCTTTTTTATAAAATTAACTCATTTAAATTGTACAGTTTGATTCCTGATCAAATGCTTTGAATAACATGAAGCCAAAAACATCCTTCTGGATAATGCTTATTTTAAAACCGCTCTTATTTCAGAGACTTACAGCTCCCCACTTTCTCCCTCCCTTCCCCTGCTTGAGCACCTCAGACTTCATTTAGGATTTACCCATCTTGCTCTAATTAACTGTAACATTAAAAGTGCTGAAATGTTGTTCATTTTTAGGTTTTACGTTTTATCTACAGGATAACATGAAGAACCGTTCTCCAATCAAATTTATATCATCCACTGAAGGCTGGAAACGTATATAACTTATTTATTGTTATAATAAATAGAGATTTTATATTGCTAAATATACTCCTGGATGCAGAGGGGCTTCCTATCCATAGCGACTCCATTTTACTAGGATTCAGCCAAAGTTTTGTTGTGTCCCATCCAGGCCCCCACAACCTCCAGGCTCCACAAAACAACATTCATAGCATCACTCACTTCATCCGGGATGGAGATGTATAACTGAATATCATCAGCATACTGATGATACCTTATCCCATGGTGACAGCTAATGTCACCCAGAAAGTTCATATAGATCAGGGGTGTCAAACTCGCATTGTCATGTCATCATGATGTATTGCGACTTTTTTTCCCTTTGTTAAAATGGAGGTGGGGGTGGCTAGTGTGTGATGCATCAAGACTGCAAGTTTGACACCCCTGATACAGATGTTAAAAAGTAGTAGAATACCTAGCAGCGGCCGAGAGGTAGACTTCATGCTTCCTATCAACATTGATTTGGAGCAGCCTTGGAGAAAGGTGGTGAACCAGCCCAGAACTGTGCAACCATCCCCAACTCCCTAAGTCAGCCCAAAAGGATACCATGGTCAATGGTATTGAAAGCTGCCGAGAGATCAAGAAGAATAAGGGTAGATGTAGCACTTCTATCCCCCTTCCATCAGAGGTCATCTATGAGTGCGACCAATTTTGTTCCATATTCAGGTCTAAAACCTGATTGAAAAGTGTTCAGATAATCTGTTTTTTTTCCAGGATCCTTTGGAGGTGTAACCACCTGAATGGTGGGATTTAACAATGGCTCCTTGAGGGGCCGCACCAGCATTTTACATTCAACATGTTTGTTCGTTACTCGTTCTTTAGAAGAGGAAGTCCCATAACTTATCTCAAGAATCAGTACCTTGGCACAGATGGAAAGAAACCTTTCAAATTATTTAAGAAATGGCCTTAATAAACTCTTTGTCAATAAGGTCGGAGATTTCTCTTCCCAAGATTCTGTATCTGTGCTAGGCTAGCATTAAAGTTATTTTAGTGAAATCTCACTTTTAAAGATAAGCTTTTGAAAATAAATTACTAACACATACCAGGATACATACTTCAAAAATGCAGATATACCCTGTAACTAATAAGCTTATTGGTTATATGCATTATCTTACAGTGTTCTCAATGTTAAATAAGTATGTCACATTACCATTAAGAATAGTGTTTGCCTGTGTTGGGATGTAGGTAAAAGTAAAGATAAGAAATAACGTTTTCTAAAAAATGTGTCATAGTTCCAAACTATAGTTCTTAGAATTGCATAAGCACTTAAATATTTTACAGTCAGTTTTTCCAACTGAATTGTTTTCATAATTCTAAGCATAGAATATAGATTTTTTTGCCTGATGGATTTTTATGTAATATTTATTTTCTTTCTAATCCAGCAGTCCAAATGTAATGAAAAATTGAGATTGAAAATGTAATGGACCCCGGTGGGAAAGGCAGCTAGCCAATAGCTCAGAAGGTTGCGGTTTGCTCCATTAAGCCTGCTTTGTCCTGGTTGCATGACCTAGGGCAGATCTGCTATTAAGAGATTGGAAAGACTTCCAGAAACCATGCTCATGTCAGGCTTGGCATTAGTGATGTACTAAGCATGTAAATCAACTCAGGCATAAACTTCATCACTAATGGGATTCTCTCTTATCGCTCACTCCTAGTTTGTAGATGATGCAGTCTGCATCATACATATATGCACATAACCAGGGTTCTACTTATGGTTCCCTGTATTCCAAATCTAGTCATGAGGGAACATATTGTAATTATTTTTTACCTTTCTGCTATTTAACTTATGGTTTAAATGAACGAGTATACCTTAGATAATAAAACTAAGATGATTTAAATGTGTTTGTCAACATCAAGACCTGAGAAGCTGAACTTTTATATAAACTTGGAAATTTATATATTAGTCGTGGGCATGGTCTACAGTTCCTAACAGCTAGCCCGAAGTGATGTACTGCATAAGAAGTATTAATATGCCAAGGGTTCTCTTAAGTATTATACTTCCCATCCTTCTAATCACTGCCTACAGTAGATGTAAACAAAGCTTGGTTTTGACTGAAGATGTTGACTTGTGAGATTTCAGCATTGACACCACACAGCTTCCCCATGGGTAAAAAAGAGGTTTTGAGTTGTGATTCCGCAGCAATTATCTAAAAACATTTATTATATTATTTTTTTGTACACTAGTTCTGTTGTGCTTAGAATAATTCATTTTTATGTCAAATATTCTGCAACTATTAATGTAAAATGCTTTGGTTTCCAGAGGTGGATTTTCCTAATTAAAATACTTTTTTTTTTAAATCTCACAGAATGAAGCGAGTCTGTGTTTGTGTGTGTTGTTTTTTCCTTATTAACAGGACTGAAGAAAATAATTTTTGAAAACTTATTTAAACGGCATATGTAAATATGAATTTATTTTTGTGTCTTTTTTTTTTTACAGGAAAGCTAACACTCATCCTGCTTCTACTGATAATTACCGTGTAGTTTCAGAAAAAGATGTGGCTTTGGAACCAAAATCAAAAGACTGATCTGAGTCCATTGAACTTCTACAATAAAACTTCAGTAATCTTTCAACAGTTTTCCTTCAGAACTGAAGATAGGAACTTATTAAAGAACTGAGTTCAAAGTTCATAGATTTACAGTTTGACCATTGGATGAGGCAATTAATACATGAAATAATCAACATATGATCTACAAGACTGCATATGCTGCTTCTACATTCTAATAGTTTGCACTTAAATCCTTTCAGAGTATCACTTAGTGTGTCTGCTTCTTATCACTCAGATACAGAATTTGAGGAACCTATCATGTTTCTGCTTCAGGGATAATGCATTATGCTGTTAACAAGATATGATTATATTAGAATGGAAGAGTCTTCATGGTTCTTTTAACAGCCTAGTTCTTAAATCAGGCTTCTGAGTTCATGTGGCAGCCAAAGAAAAGCTAATCTTGCTTTCTGGGTTTAAATTTATACGGCAACAGTAAGCTTTGCTGAATATAGTGTTCTGTTTTATATTTTAACAGTCAACATCACTGTGATAAGGTATATTTTGATTGAATGGAACTGATTCTGAAATGTTCACCTGAGGTGCTTGGGAGGGGGAGAATGACAAAATGTGTATTGTGATGTTCTGTGATATTACAAAATACATTATGTCATTTTGGCATCAGTCTGGCTAGCGTGGATACTTACAGCATTCAAGAAAGTATTTTGCCTTAGTTTGCAAAAGTTGTATTTGTAAATTTTATTGTATTATATGAAAAAATTAAATGCAATGTTTGTATATAGAGAAATGTCTGGCAATGGTAATATTAAAGTTTGAATTGCACTGAACTTTTTATCAGAAACTACCAGTTATACATTCATACATAATGGAATAAAAATAAAGCTTTGTGAATAGAACTGAAGTCTTACTGCAACAAAATAGGTTTTTACTGATAAGTGCCCTTGGTTTGAATATAAATATTAGAATTGCATATTTTGAATGGTAGGAGAAAACTGTTTTTGATTTTGATTGATTAATTTCAACAGACAAAAAGTTCTAAAGATTGCATTTCTTAAAATGGGCTGGAGGGTTTTTTTTTAGAAGATCATGCAAAACAAGTTTCCACAAGAGATTTTGTGGCAGTTATTAAATGTTGCATTTACCAAAAAGTCCTTCCTTTTCATCTAATCTAATTGGGAAATGCAGTTTTGTGTCTGTTATTAACATTAATTATTACTGACAATAAATTACTGTATGTGATTTTTATTCCAACCTTCAGATGTTAATTTCTCCTTGTGCTTGCTGATAAGATTCATCAGTTTCTAAAACACTCTTAACTTCCTAGCCAAATGCAGCAAAAACAACCTTGATATAATCCAGCATTTTATCTCACCTCAGACTAAATGTATACAGAACTATTGGGGTGACCAATATGGATGCATTGATTTTGTATGTATGTTTTGGGGTGCTCGGAACCACTGTTTCTGAAACTGATTTCACTGATAAAACTGCAGGATGTGCAAGATGAGATTTCACAGTGTACAAAGAAACACGTTCTATTGTCTAAATCTGGTTCCTCTGGGGCTTTTGGTATGAAAGCCCCTCTTTTATTTGCTTGCTACTATTGCTGCTTCCTCTTTTGTATTTATATACATAAGGGCATGAATTCTGCTGCCAGCTTCATAGTCATCACTGAATCAGGAGCAATGATTTCTGCCTGCATCCTCAACCTTTTGTTTACTGCGACCTTCCTGGCTGCTCCTTTAGTGAAACAAGGTGAGAAGGTGGAAGTTGGTTGAGCTTCTGTAATGTTAACCTCTCTCTGTCAATCCTCTCTCTCCACAAATAGTTTAAAAATTAGTTATGTCTTCTATTCCAGTTCTGATAACTCTTTTCTTCTGAACTTTGATCCTCATCTGGGAGAAAAGAGCTTGTTGGAAGCTCTGGAGAGGTCAAAGACAAAGGAATGAAATCTGACTTTGTGTTCAGTTCCTGATATTTAGTGATTGAAGACCATTATTTAAATACAGTATTTTCTCAGTCATGACTGACTTTTCTCCCTTCGCTTATTTGTAATCACTGGAGTTATGCCAATCAGAACTGCTTACAAAATTTCAAAAAACGAACAAAAAACCATTGCATGGCAGATAATCTCATTACTTTCCATTAGTCTTGATATTTCCAGCTCAGATCTAAGGGCTCTAAATCAAGTGAAGGTTTCTACTGTATTATACTGCAGATTTTAAATACATGCAGTACAATTCTGAATTTTGTTGGTATATTCATAGATTTAATTAAATTAAGAGCTGTCATCATTTCTTGGCAGATTTTGAACCCATTACTATTTTGTGTCACTAATAACATATGAAGTATTTTTTTGTTATTGAAATATGGTAGGGGAGAAATCTAAATTTGAAATAAGGGTGATAATAGCTTTCACTTCCCTTGCTCAGTTTTTAGCTACAGGGTGAATTTCCTTCCACATTTGTACCTGTAAATGTCACAGTCCTGTAACTGGTCTTCATCCTGGCAGAATTTAGAATGCTGTTGGTTTTCCTCCACTTGTTGTTTGCTTTTTTACTTTACTTACTAGCTTGGCAAAAACTTTCAAAATAGGTTTAAAATTAAGAGGAATTCATTTTGTTGTTTTGCATTTAAAGCCTGTCTTTTCTTAGAATGATGATTCTTCAACAGTTTGATTTCAGAATCCATTTATATATGATTAAAAATGATTGAGGAAGCCAAAAAGCTTTGGTTTATATGGATTATATCTATTGATACTGTGTTAGAAATTAAAAATGAGAAATTTAAAAATACTTAGTTCAGTTGACAGACCACCTGAAATGTAGCTTCTCAGCCCTGACTTCGTTTAAACCAGGGGTGTCAAACTTGTGTTGTCATGGTGATGTCGTGTGATGTATCACAACTTTCCCCCCCTTCATTTAGCTGGGCATGGCCAGCACATGACACATCCACCCTGTGGCCCTGAGTTTGACAGCCTGGGTTTAAACTGAGAAATACTGATTATCCACTGAATTCCATGGAAGAGTATGAGCGAGAACTGGATCTCGTCAAAGCTTGCCAACATTTTAATTTACTAGAAATGGAAATTGTTTTCCTGCCAATTTTTGCACAATTCTGTCAGGTTATTTAATAAACTATCTTAAAAATATACTAATACATATTTTTTATTCCAGCAAAATAAAGTAGCAAATGTAGTTTCTTCTCTGTTTTATTCTCATAACAGTCTGGGGAGATGAATTGGGCCAGCCCCCAAGTAAGTAAAATAACGGCTTGAGTCATCATCTAGCAATCTAGCTGCAATGCAACACTGGCTCCACTTTTATAAGTGCTTTCTTACAATAAATAAGCTAGTAACAAAGATGGTCTTGAACAGTCCCAGATCAATGAGCAGAAAAATTTCATAACAATAGATCAGTTTTTCTGACTCAGATTTCTGGAAGAACAAGATGTGAAAACAGATGATTGTGCTTTCATTAGCACAAGAATTTCCCAGCTCATATCTTATGTCCTTGATTAAAATAATAGTTTACTACAGGTTTCATTCTGCACAATTGCTTTCCATGAGACATTACCTGTCTTGACTTGAACAAAATTTACACTTACCCTTAAATTTTTATTTGTTAAAGGGAAAAAGGATTTATTTTAAATTAAAATTTGACATTCAGGGAAAAGTCTAGGAACTTTCTGGAATAAATCAGCTCTAACTCTGCAAGTATGATCATATTCCCTTATATTCCAAGATATGGTGAGCCACTTCCAGATCATAGGGGAAGAAATGGAAACTAAATTGAAAATTGAATCTGGCAAATTTCATTGCTGTCTTTTTTTCCCAATTAGATAGCTGTGACTACCCACCTAGGTTAGTTTCTGCTGAGTTAATGGATGAATATAAAGAGAAAGATTTCTTTCCTGTTGGATCAACAGTGAAATACAAATGTCGACCAGGTTACACGAAAAAGCCAGGGACGTATTCTAGTACGTGTAATAGAAACCAGCAGTGGTCAAAAGTTCAGGAGTTCTGTAAACGTAAGTCTTTTTTTTATTCTGATTAAATAAATTCTGTAAATTTATGTAAGGGAATTGATTTTTCTGCTAAATTCAGACAAAAACCCTGAATCAGTTTTATATATTTTGTGCTACAATGTAACATGAGAAAGTAGACATCCTCTTGTTTTCCACTAGGAAAAACATGTGGACATCCAGGAGAACCAGATGGTGGTAGATTGCTTGTAACAGGAGATTTTGACTTAGGATCCACTGCAAATTACCAGTGTGATGGAGGGTAAGTTACAGGGAATCCAAGATAATTTCCAGTGGTGTGATTCTTGTTTATTCCTTCCTCCTTCGAACAGTGTAACCTGAAATGGTCTGATAAGAACTCTTTTTGGTGGGATGAAGGAAATCTCACTTTCCTCACCAGTCTTTGGGCAAGGCCTGTGCCCAGGAGTAGGATGCTACTGGTTCTGCCTGGTTCTATAGAATCCGTAGCTCTGAAGAGCAGCAGACACCGGACCAGTTCTGTGTTTGCTACTGTTTGCCCTGCCCGCCTGGGCTCTTACCTGTCCTTTATTTCCTGCTTTTTCAACCTCAGCTGCTTTGCATGGCACAGCTGAGGTTGAAAAAACAGGAAAATAGAGGCTTTTCAAATGCTGCATACCCCCCCATAGCACTTTTCAGCTGTCTGGGCAGCCCAAATTAAGGTTTTTTTTACACAAGCACAACGCATATCAGGCGCACATGCACACAAAGCATGCAAGCACATGCAAAACGCAATCACCAAACCTATAGTAACACTGGTTGAATCCTACCCCTGCCTGTGCCTAAATGGAGAAGGAGCAGTAGTGGCTAGGTTGGGAGCTTTCAACCTGCTGCTGCATTTTTGCATCTTTCTCTTTTAATTTAAGTTTGCTAAAATGAGCATCAGCAAAAATTAGGACTAAGCTGAATGAAAAGGAAGGACAACTGTCAGGTTCACAAATTGCATAAATAAACAACAGAGTTGAACATATTCTTCCTTCTAATATATTTCCTCCAAGGAATAAAAAACAATAGGAAATTTCTCCTTCTATTGTATGATTATAAACATATAAGACTTTTGCTAAAAGAAGACTTAGCAATTAGGGAAAGTAATTTCTCCTGCACTTTGCTATTTTGCTATCTAGCAATCTGTCTCTACACATACACATATGCTGTCTGTCTACACATATGAATGCATATAAATACCAACTGACATCACATGAACAAAAATGCATGGGGTGGATGAATACTAAAATACTTTATGGGTTCTTAACCATCTTTATACCTACATTTTACTCAGACCTGAGGCCAGCTCAGAACTGAATCAACTCTAAACAGCTCATTTTGAACTAGAGCAGACAAATGAATCTAGAATATTCATTTGATCCTAACTATCTAAAGTCTGCATTCTTCTACAAAAAATAAAATGATTATGGTATATGCTGTTTCTTTTGTCTTGCATCAGGTACAGGCTGATTGGCAAGTCTACCAGAAAGTGTAAAGTATTGAACAATAAAATGATATGGACTGACGAAGTTCCCTATTGTGAGAGTAAGTAGTATGATGTATGTAGGTAATATATAAAAATATTTTATTGCTTTGTGTCAATATAAGTCCAGAAGAATATGAACTAATGAATTAATTGAAAAGTACATATTCAGCTAAAAAAGATACAAAATATTCTTTTCAGTTTTTGACTTTCCCACTCCTTCTAGTTATTCCATGTTCGCCACCACCAAAGATTCCTCATGGCAAGCACACTGGAGAGTATTTGGATTCTTTCTACTATGGGACAATTGTAAAGTATACCTGTAACAAAGGCTACCCCCTTATTGGAAATGCCTCTATTTATTGTACATCTAAGGATGGGATAAATGGAGAATGGAGTGGCCATGTGTATTGTGGAGGTGAGTTTTCCTGTCCCAATTTTTGGTTCTTGTGTTTCTTCTTAAGCTGCTAATTGGAAACATTTAAAAAGATTCCTTCAAATATTTCCTTGAGGACCTCACACTGACAAACTGGTTATCTCTACTCCTCAGCTTCCCAAACTGAACTAATCAGGCCTGACGCTACTACAGAGTGATTCTAGTTTTTTCTCCTTATCTGCTTCTGAAATGAGTTTCATTTTTCAGAGACACAGTGTCCATCTCCTCAGATTAAGAATGGAAGGATTGTGGCTGGAGTTTCCAGCATCTACAAATATAACCAGAAAGTTAGCTTTGAATGCATTGGGGGCCATGAGATGGTTGGTTCCAGAGAGAGTCATTGCCAAGTGGATGGTACATGGGATCCCCACATACCTGTCTGTGAACAGAGTAAGGATGAATCTGGATTTTCCATTTTTTGAACACCATGAAATCTTTATGCTGTTTTGACTGTGGGTTCCACTTTCTTTCACTTTCAGTTAGTGGAAACTATGGTGCTTTGCAGCTGGGCTAGGAAACAACTAGTCTTTTACTTTTTTCCCTGACATATCATCACAGAGTATATTCTTAATCTGGTTTTCTTCCCAATCTTCTTTTTTCCTCCTTTAGTGGTTCAATGCCTGCCACCCCCAGACATTCAAAATGGGACTCACAACAACCAGAAAACAGGAGTATTTCCTAGTGGAATATTTGTGAAATACACATGCGATCCTGGCTATGCTCTGATTGGAGAGACAACTCTTCATTGCACAAATGCTGGCAGATGGTCTTCTCCTGCTCCTAACTGTAAAGGTATCTTTTGTGACCACAACATTTTTTTTCTGTAAGCTCTTGAGATCCAGAAACAGGATCACCCTTCACATGGATTTCCACTTCTTTCTGAATGGGATGTTTCTAAAGAAATCCCCAACTGAAGACTGCTTTAAAACCTACCTTTGGTTTCAGAACTAAGAAAATTTAATTGTAGAGTCCAGAATTTTGTACCTATTGATTTGACAGTTCATTAAAGAGACCCTGAAACATAACTGATGACAAAAAGCCCTTTTCTGTGTCCATTCCTTTTGCGGGGATGTTGATGCTGTTGTTCCCAGCTATAGTGTTCATGTGGGAAAGGTTGCAGTGAGCTGTGAATAGTTTGGGAACATTTTATTGCAACTGATGCATGAATTTAACTTTGGAAATTTAGTGTGAATTAGTGTGAATTAAACTTTGGAAAAATCACAGATTTGGGGTTGTTTATTCCTGTCTGGGAAATCACATATAATCTGAAGCACTATAAATAGTTTTAGAAATTAAAGTCACCTAGTTTATTAGCAAACTTCACAGGGATTAACATACAATATAGGACCTCCACTGTTATCAAGGCAGATTGCTTTTACTTTTATTCTCCTGAGATAAATTTCATTGCTAATCAGAGGAGGTAAAGGCGGATAGGAGAATTTAATACTCTCCTTCCATGCACATTTTTTCTTCTACAAAGAGGATAAGAATAATAGTGTGCTGTATGCAATATGCTGCCTGACCCTAGCTGTCAAGGGACAAGTTTGGGTGGCTGGAAGAGGAAAACAGAACTATCAGATATTTGGGTGAAAACATGGGACAGACTTCATGTTTATGTTCTACTGCCTTCATTTCTTTGGCAGCCTTTGTGTTTGTAGCTAAACAACTAATTCCCACAACCCTGCCAATTTATTTACTAAGACTGTATTACTATTGTTCCTCTCATCCTTCCTAGTATCTATCTCTTCCCACTTATGACTATAACAGTGTTGCTTGTATCTTTACAATTTATATTGTTTTATTTGTTTCATAGTATGATTTGATTGCTTATTAGTAACCTATGACTATCATTAAGTGTTGTATCTTATGATTCTTGGTGAATGTATTTTTTCCTTTATGTACACTGAGTGCATATGCATCAAAGACAAATAATAAAGTATTCTATTCTATTCTATTCTATTCTATTCTATTCTATTCTATTCTA